CGCGCACGAAAGACGCGAGCTGCCAGAACCACGGGCACAAGAGCATTCCGTGCAAGAACATCCTATGGCGACGGAAGAGCTGCCGGGGATCCCGGAAGACCCCGAGTTCATAAAATAAGCGTTTCGCCAAGTGGAAGAAGATGAGCTGTCTGATGGGATGGTCGTTCCTGCGCCGCCCGCGACGAGATCGCCGCAGGTGACTCGAACGCCTCTGCAGAGGTCGTTGCTGGGCGACGCGCCGCGCGGTATACAGAGTCGTAACGAAGTGATGCGCAGAAGAATCGAGAATGCCTATGGTAGCACGGGAAGGGTTTCCGATTCTGTCTCGGAGCCAGCCCCCGAACCAGCGAACCCGCTTCTTGATGCCGCGCGCAGGGCCGGAACATCAGGGCCGGGCATGGACTTTCTAGCTCGTAGAGAAGCGTCACTCGCTATTAAGCCACATGAATCGCTTGTCGGATTCTTCAATGAACGCACCGCTCATAAGCTACAATCCAAGAAGAAGACAGAGAGTGCAAATAATCTGGTATATCATCGAGAATCTGAGGACGTTTAAAGCGGCGTACGACTGGCAAGAGAAAACGAATGGGGGAAATGGCGGAAGTTCAACGCCGCCGTGCCCATTGATTCCGTGGAACTGCAAAATCTTCTCGACGAAGGATACCGCGTGGTACTTACGCAGTGGATTGAGTTTGACAAGGATGAATTTTTCGTAGACCGGGTGGGCCTTCGGTTGCACCGCAGTACAAGAGTAGACTTGTCGCGCGTGGAGATCTGGAAGAGTCGCTGGGTTTCCGCGCAGATTCACCCACATGCGAACTAGAAGGTCTATGGTTGATCGCAGTATGGGCCGCTGGCACAAAGAAGACGCTCAAGTGCGCCGACATCTGCGAACTTCCAGGGTCAGGAACTCGACCGCCGCATGCTGCTCAAGCCACCGCCCGACGGACTCGAAGGAGTACCGGATGGTGGAGCACTGATCGCGCGCCTGGCTATGGCACGCGTGACGCGGGACGAGGGTTATGGAAGAAAATTCGCAAAATATTTGAAACTCATGATCTAAAGGGAAATCGTATCATGTCTGCTTTGTTCAGCACCCACAATGACAATAATGAGATCACGTGTATGTTAGGTACACATGTGGATGACATACCGTGGGCTGCAGATGATGGGAGTCCGAAGCTCATCGATTCGATATTTGCAGAGTTCGATACCCGCGAGATCAAGTCGGATCATTTCCGCTATTGCGGATAAGAAGTTGTTCAGGATGAAGATTTCACAGCGAGTATCGCGGCCAATGACAATATTGAGAAGATCGAAGCTGTATCCTATCCTAAGAGCGAGACAGCACAGCTCAGATCGGCCGTAGGTGCTTCGTCATGGTTTACACGTCAGTGCAAGCCTGAGTTATTGTATCGTGTGAGCAGATTGCAGACCGCAGTCTGTCACGCTAAGGTACTCCATCTTAAACAAGCCAACCGTGTATTAGAAGAAGCAACTCAGTCCGCTGACTGCGGATTAGTATTCAAGGGTGGAGCTGATATGCTAGTTCTTAGTGTCACTGGCGCCAGCTGGGCAGGAGAAGTGGATATAGTCAAGGGTAGAACCGAGCCTATCCGATCACAGAGGGCTGGGTCCAATGGACTCGCAGGGCCTGGATTCATCGAGGGGAACAATGATCATGTTCATCCTATATGTATATCTAGTAAGTTCTCAAGCGCGTGTGTAAATCTACACTACAAGCAGAGACTCTGGCTTGTTTAAGGGGTGTAGAATCTGGCGTACGCTTCCGCGCCGCCATCGCAGATGCGGGTGGGATGCTTGGCGCCGGAAAGAGATTGCCAACCAACTGGGAAGACAAATCAGCCATGTCTATGAGACATTTGTGGATGGCGGACTGCAAAAGCCTTGCAGAACACCTACTCGCCCCAACTATGGGCAAGGTAGAAGATAAGCACTTGAGTCTTGACTTGGGTAGTTTAAGACAGGATAGTTTGACTTATGGAACGGAAGGAGTAGATACGTTACATCCACACATATATTTCGTGATAAGTTCCGATGAATCGATACAAGTATTATGGGTGTTGATTGATTGTCTGACGAAGAATATGCCTACGGGATTATGTGTTAAGATCTTAAGTACTAGTTCGCATGACTTAACTCCATACCCTGCATCTACCCTAAAGAAAATCAAAAGAAAAAAACTGGCGAAGGCCAGAGCGAATGCTATCCCATCGTGGAAGTGAGTGACTGAGTCCTGGCTGCCTTTGACCTGAGTGATCCAAACATGGGAGTACTCTTTTTATTGCCCCTAGAGGCTTACTTACTATAGAGCAGCGGTACTGCGCGGTCTGCCAGCTAGCTCGTGATAAAGTTTCACGGGTGTGAGATAGTGCGTGTGCGACGTGTGTATATGCACCACTCGCCGCCACTCGCCGCCGTTTGACCTCTAGGGGCCCTTTTTTTGCCATTGCGCTAAAACGCATCATGCATACAGTCAGCGCCCCGAGTTGTTCCCAGCCCCCCGCCCCGCGGAGCGGAGCGACACGCCATCCGCTTGCAAGGCCAAGGCGTAGCGTGTCGCTGGGGCCGCCGCCACGACACGCTAAGCAAACCAACGAAGCGTACACGGGGTGGAGGATGCGGAGAAGGGGCAAGGGTATGCGGCTGGCTTTGCTTCGAAGTCCTTGCCACAACGCGCTCCAGGACAGGTTCAAGGGTCTACTCTGAGGGTGGGGAGGAGGAGGGGGTACTGAGAAATGACGGGATGATATGAAGGGGCATGCAGAGAGAGCGAGAGAAGGACAGAGAGTGCGAGGCAGTGCAGACAGTGGTTGTGAGAGATGGAGAGAGAGGGAAGGGGCTCCGAGTACCCCGAGAAAGAGAGAGAGAGAGAGAGAAAAAAAAAGAGAGAGAGAGAGACAGAGACAGAAAGAGGGACAGATAGGAGGAGATGAGCAGACAAATGATGTTGTGGACTGGGGCCTCTGTGTGCCCCTCACCGCGGTGGACAGAATACCGGCGCGTGGACACGCTGACGTTTTTGGGGCGTGGGGGTCTGGCCCCCGGGAGCCCCAAGGTCGGCTTCGGCACGCCGTGAGGGGCCCGAGATCCCAGGCGAGAGTGCGGGGGGACGAGGTCCAGGCCCGCCTCAAGCAGAACGTCGACCAGACCCATGGTGGTCGGTCTCTTTTTCATTGTTTTGCTGATCGTCGCGGGCCCTCGCACCCCCTCTTCCCCCCCCATGGAGTAGATGTTGTATTTTTGCCCCATACGACGCACTGTGTCGCACTAAGCAGAGGTCCGGAGCCAGACCCGCCCCCCCCCCCCCCCTCCGCCCAATGTCGAAACGCCGAATTAGACAACGTTCGCATGCTGGCTAGATGTTTTGTCATTCAGCCGTGCGTCTTAGCACCCCCTGCGGAGTCGGCGGGAACAACCCGCGGTACTACGCACATGCACAGCATTGCCAACATTTGCCAATCGTTTGCGTTGGCGGTGTCGCGGGCAGTAGGGATGGGGCAGGAACCGCAGATACGCAGAGGGGATGGTGAATGCTGGGAGGAAGGAGCCAGTATACTCTCTTCTAGAGTGCCGTAGCTTACCTTGATTGCCTTTCGGTCAGGCCACAGGCAAGGCAGAGCAAACATAGATTCTGTACAGGATTGTTGCGACTTGGATTTTCTGCGTTATGCCACGAATGAGGCGCAAAATAGAATAATTTGACAGAAACAGAGAGAGAGAGAGACATAAGTTGAACAATGGAAGCCAGAGTCCCAACATCATGCGACCTGTGCGGCACGAGTAGCCACGGCATTTTGCTACATCCCGTAATTGGTATTCACTGTATTTGGCAGGGGAAGGGGCGTTGCACTTCGAAGGGGCACCATCATGCGTAGCATTGGAAGGGCGCTTGAGCGCTCGCATGGCTTGAGAATTGTCAGGCCCTGAGACATCATTGGTCCGCGATCGCTCTACTACTAGCCACCCACTGCATGTGCACAGACGCAAACCGCGCGTCCCGTTATCATGCGGTGAGGTTTGGCGGCCGCGACGTCTGGAGAGCTCACTGATCCCTCCTCGAATGGCCTTCGACCGTACGCACGAGAGCACAAGATTCGTCCTGGTCATTGTGCACGGGCCCCTCTGTCATCCCAGAGCGGCTGCTCGCTCTCAGCGTCGTTGCCGGTCACTCGTGTCCGCCGCTCTCTTCCGCCCCTTCCCCAATATCGGAGGGCACCAACTATACACCAACACCGATCCTGGCCCAGGATCCCCCTGGGCCCAGGATCGGTGTATATGCCTTCTTGCGCAAGGCAGGAGGGCGTATGCACCGATCCTGGGCCCAGGGAGATCCTGGCCAGGATCGGTGTTGGTGTATAGTTGGTGCCTTCCTACGTTAGCTGTCAGACACGCTTCCCGCACTCCAGAAAAACCACATGGGGCGCTCCAGAGCGGGCCCCGGCCTTCGGGTGGTCGAGAGGCCGACGTCTCTCCTCCTCGGCGGAAGCCCCGGCGAAGGGCCGGCGGAGGAAGCGGCCTCGCCGGCGGAAGCCAGCAAGAGGGCGGCGGAAGCCGGCAGGAGTAAAAGACTTGCAACAAAAAAGGATTGCAAAAAAACCTTTTTGTGCAATCCTTGTTTTTGTTTGCAATCTTTTGTTTTGCAATCCTTTTTTTTTGCAATCGCCCCCTCAGAGATGTCAACGTTTTTGGATTCAGTGCTTCGGAAAGTGGCCATGTAGATAGAGTTTGACACGGCAGTCAGGCAGCTCGGCCAGGAGGGTCGGTATCTGCAGGTCTCGTGTTCTGTTTCTGGCTGTATGACTCAACCGTCCATGCCGCCGCAGGCGCGTGAGGCGTTCGCGGAAGTCGTCCGCCTCGCGTTCTTCTATTTGGATTTGGACGGAGATGGCCTGCTCAGCCCACAGGATCAGCGCTCTCTTTTGCTTTTCTGGCCTGGAGTGAGGGAGTTGTAAGGGATTGTCTCCGTATACCGGTGATTATAGTCGTTACCTCGTCATGAGCTCCAGCGCCTTACCCACCATTTCATGCGTGATTGAAGTATGTTGACCATGCCAAACTTCAACGTTCCCACGTGCCGTGTTCGCCGTCAATTGGGCAGCTGTTTGTTAATTGGCAGCCGATGTTCCATAGCCCTTTTGGCCTCAGGCTGGCCTTCCGGGGCTGTAGCCAGCGCCTGTCGTCATGGCGGCGGCCACGGAAGAGGGACCCCTCGCCAGTCGGCAGCAGCCTCGGCTGGCGCAGATGCTCCAGGGCCCATGGTCTTCGCGGTGGAGGCGGCAGCTTGGGACAGGTGCTCTGCTCGCCACGGCTGGGAGCCGCGGCACGCGACGCCACCAGGCGCTGGGGCCGAGGGGCACAGGCAGGCCCAGTGCTCCGCGTGCAGCCGCGGGGCTGCCGCCGAGGCTGGCCTCTGCTGCGGCTGCCTGCTGCTGCGGGAGGCCCGCGGCTGCCCCTTTGACGCCCTGGACGCGCCCGCGGCGCGCTGGCTGCGCCTGGCGGACCTGTGCAGCACGTGGCCCGCCACGGGCTCTCCGCCGTCGGGGCCCTCTGTGCAGCCCGCGGCGCCCGACGGCCCCGGCCCAGGCTACCTCTCCTTCTCGGGCCCCGTGGTCGTGTTCTGGGACGGCCGCGACGCGGCGGCGAAGAGGTTCGTCGACACCCTCAGGCGGGCCTTCCCAGGGCTTTGCCTGCTCATCGACGCTCGGGAGCACCGGTGTCGCGAGGAAGCCCTCACGCGGTTCCCAGGGGTACCCCGCGACCAGGTTTGCCGCAAGGGCGGGGTCACGGGGGTGCTTCCGCCGGGCGTCTTCGTGCCCAACTGCGAGACACACCCGCAGATCCTGCTCTACGAGCTGAAGTACCGTCGCTCGGTGCAGCCGCCGCCGCCTGAGGTGGTGATCTCGTATGAGCGCCATTTCATGTGCCCTTTGGCGCAGGTTCGCCGCGAGCACCAAGCCTCAGGCAATCCCTCGCACTGGTTCCTCCGCGACGACGCGCTGCGGCTTGTTGCGAGGTCGATGGCGCAGCATAGGTTCTGCATCCTAGACGGCTTCCTGCCCGACAATGACGCCCGGGACCTGGAGCAGAGCTTGCGCGGTTTCCGCACGGAGGGCCTCTTGACGCCTGGCACCGAGTATTACAAGCTGCGGGCGAAGCAGGGCGCAAAAGCCGACATGCCCGATTTGCTCAGCAGCCCGACGCAGCCGCGCAAGTGGAACATGCGTACGGAGAGCCTGATCTATTGCGACGACGGCGATCCACGCGCACCCGTGCTCGGCCGATTGGGCGCGGCCACGGATGGGCTCGTGGCTGCGCTGAGGCGTGGAGGGCCCGACGGCGACTACGAGTGCAGGAGACGATTGCAGCATGCCCTCTTCCGAGAGCCCCACCTGTGCGCCTGCTACCCCGGGGAGTGCCGTGGGCGGCATGCGCGGCACATTGACAATGACAGCCCATGGTTGCACCGCACACTCACCGCAATCATCTACCTCAACAGCGGGTGGGGCCGTGAACACGGGGGTGAGTTCCGCCTCTTCGACAGGGGCAGGAGCGGCACGCAGGTGGCGTTCGACGTGTTGCCGGTCGCCAACCGGATGGTTCTTTTCTGGGCGACGGAGGATTGTCCGCACGAAGTCTTGCATTGTAACCAGGACCGCTTCGCGATCTCTCTGATCTATGTAGACGGTCGCGCGTCGATCTTGAACCCCGACAGCCAAGCGCGACTGAGGGTGCTCCATGAGCTCATCCCTACCAGACCGTATTGCCGCGAAGAGGCGTTGCGCCAGTGCACCCGCACCAGCCAGGAGGCCCAGGCGCTGATCGCCCAGGCCCGTGTCGTCGGCGCCGCCGTGGCCGCTGAAGTTCGCTGAGTGCGGTATCTCCACGTCTGGCGGAGCCGCTGGCGGCGGAGCCTTCGCAGTCTTGCATTGCCCACAATGTTGGCACGCCTGGGAGGATTTTGAGCACGAAGCGGAGAGCTGTCAGAGTGCACAAAAGGCATGCGGTGCAGTGGAGAAGAGGCCGTCGCAGTAGAGGTCGCAGGAGCAGGTGTGGGCAAGACCACTGCACGAGCGGCTACAATTTCAGCAGTAGCTACGACTACCAGTTGCAGTCGAAACCGCAACTAGATGCTGAAAACCATGACTGCAGCCAGCTGGGAAATTTGCCGCATTCCACCCATCGGCACGTTCCGACACGTTAACGGCTGCCATCGTGGCAGCCGCCAACGTGTTGGAACGCGTCGATGCAGCAGTCATCATGATTACTTCAGAGCGTCGGCGACCATCGCTGCTCCAGCACCATGCTAGTGGGAGGGGTCGAGCATTTATCAATTCGCTCTCCACCATAGCGCCTTTAAGCAAATGCTTTACCATTTCTCGTATTGTATGTTTACGCTGTCGTTTACTCTCAGGTGCCTTTAATTGATGAGAGTGAGTGCGCCGAATGGTCTTGCACCATGCCTAGTAGCGTGTCTGCAGTGGGCTTGCGTGTTGAGGATTGTTCGTGATGTTGTGTTGTCGTTTTCCTCGCCCGCGACCCGCCCGCGACACCCGCGATCCGCCCGCAACCCACCAGCGACCCATCCGCAACCCGCCACAACCCACCCGCGACTCGCTTTGGACCCATCCGCGACCCACTCGCGACCCACCCGCACTGCTTTGACGAAAAAGTCGGCGCCTGTGGCGGGCTCGTTGTGTAATGTGTCAAAACGTAGGCGCACGCGGCGGGCTTCTTGCAATTTGCTTTCGAGCCTAGCAGACTGCCGACGACCCCCACGACCCCCTCACTCGTATCCGCAGCTGCGGGGCCTATGGTAGCGACGCTCTTCTGCTTCCGACCGCGTCATGATCATGAACGCAAGTGGTGATTCTGTTGCTCGTCAGTGTCGCTGGTTTCCCCATTGCCCCCAACGAGGTTCTCCAGTGGGCTTGGAGCAGGTAGTGTCTTTATACCGCGCCTGCTCTGGCCCATGCTTACTAGCCTTCGCGTCCTCCGCGCCCTCCCGAAACACCCGACGTCGTGATTTTTTCGCAACGTCGACCCCGAGAGGTCTGGACCCCTTCCCCAGGACCGGGTTTTCCTCCTGAGTCGCCGTTTGACGGTCCCGGGGCCCAGTGAGGGCCCTCCTGAGGCCGAGAAAAGCGAAACACCTCCCGTCGTGAGTTGTTCCCTGCCGGCCGAAGAAGCGACACAGCGAAAAAGAGGAGGTCCGGGTCCTCCGCCCCCCTCCTCGCAGCAGCAGCCCCCCCGCGCGAGCCCTGGCATGGCCGCCTCGGCAGGGGCCGTCGCGGGCGCCGGCCCATGGCAGCCCACGCTGCGGAGCCAGAGCAGGCAGAGGACCCCGAGGGTCAGGCGGGTGGTAAGGGGGGGGTGGCCCAAAGGGGGGGTGAAGGAATGGGCCCTGAAGGAGCCCTGTAGGGCCCTTTTCGGAGCACCTTTTGCAGCCCTAAAGGGGCTCTTTGGAGCACCTTTTGCAGCCAGCTGGTGCCATAAAGGGGCCCTCTTAGGGCCCCTCTGGGGCCTTCCGTTTCGCCCCCCCACGCGGGTCACCCCCCATCACCACGCGCCCGAGAGGGCGGGCGTCCGCGCGAGCACGGCGAGTTCGCTCCACGTTGCCGCGGCGGCGGCCATAGCGCGGATGTCCGACGACGTCGACGACGACGACGACGACGACGATGACGACGACGACGACGACGACGACGACGACGACGACGGCGACGCGGTGGAACGCCGCGAGTGGCCCAGAATCGGCCGACATCGAAGGATCTGCGCTGTCGGAAAGCCGCGATCGCTCAGGACCGAGCGGCCCGCGCGGTGTCGGAGTCCAGCGCCGGCGGCGGCACGACACGGACCTTCCGTGCCATGGCAAGCGGAGTAGGGACATACCGGGATCGGGAAAACGTAAGACTCGAGGAGCACGCGGGAACTCGGGTCTGCCAACGTTTCTTGACGAGCGCGTCCTGAATGTTGGCGGTCCAGTTTTCGTGGGACGTCTGCAGCGGGAGGTCGCGTCAAATTTCAGATTAGGTCCTGTCATGTTCATGATGTCCCCGTCAGGCCAACCCGAGTCCCCCGAACCCGAGTCTGACGTCTCCCCAGCAGGAAGCCGCCTCGCCTTGTCTGATATGTCACGCCAGCTCGCCCATTGAGAGTCCCACCGAGAAGCCGTCAACGGCGCGGGAGTAGATGCCCAGCTAGGGGCCGCGGTTGGGGTTGGCGAGAGTGGGGAGCACGAGCGTGTTTGGGGTCTCCTCCGTGATCCCCCATGTGGCCGAGACCAGTTCGTTCCCTTACATCACCGCCCTCGGCATTTCCAATATGATGGAAGTCAATCGGTACGTCGGCCAGCGCCCATATGGGGCGTTCCAAACATGGCCGTGTCTTCGAGGATCGAAGGAGTTGTCATCTCTTCCTCGTCGGAAGGCGGCGGAAGAACGGCGGAAGTAAAGCGAGGCCGCCTCCGTCGGCGGAAGACGGCGGAAGGGCGGCGGACGGCGGCGGAAGTAAAAGATGCGCCCCCAAGAGATGAAAACGTTTTTGGGTTCAGGGTTTCCAGAACCCGCCATATGCCAGGTACGGTGTAGTCTTGCCCGGGTGGACTTGGAACTTGCACGTGTCTCGTCCATCGCCTGTCAGCCACTCCTCTCAGGGCGCCCCAGCAGTACCTTGTCCACATCTGTCCCCGGTGATGTCATCAGAAGGGTGTGGCGGGGCCACACCCTTCCGATGGAAGCACTGCTTTTGTCGCCGTCGCGGATGCATCGCCGATGCATCGCCGACGCATCGGCGATACATCGGCGATGCGGCGCGATCGGCCGACACTGTCTGTTTCGACCCCGTTTTCGCGGCCTCTACTCGAGAATCCCGAGTTCAGCTCCGCTGCCTGGACCCCGAATCGAGCCGCGATCCGAGTTCGGGGCCAGCCTGCTGCCCCTCCATGCTGCTCCCTGCGGTCATGGCAGGGGCCGCTGAGGAGGGAGGCGACGCCGCCTCCCCCCTCCGTGCTCTGCGCGCGGCACCTGCATTTCGCAGACACCAGCGTTTCGAAGTTGCCTCTTCTCCAGCATGCCCTGGGTCCCCCAAGCCTCTTATCGGCGGCGAGCGAGGGGGGGGAAGGTGAGAAGGCGGAGGCCTTCTCAGAAGGCGGCGGGGCTTCTCTCAAGCCCTCCGACCTTCTGATCAGTTGTATGCATCTTCGGGGTAGGCTTAGGAAACTATTCAGAAGGCCTTGGGCCTTCCGAGCCTTCTGCGAAGGCCCGCCCCTTTGCACGTCCCCCCCAGGCTCGTCGCCGACTCTAAACGCGTCCCAGCCGAAAGGGACACTCAGGCAGGCCTAGGATCGGGATGCATCCCTCCAGAGCGTTCCGGAGCGCTCTGGGATGACCGCTGCGCCCGGCACATCCTCGAGAACCGTTAGGTCTTGGAGGTCCCAGATTTATCCAGCTGCTTACGGCAAGTCTGGCCACCGTGCTTGGTCTGTGGGTTATGCGCCTAGTGGATGTTCGTTGGAATCTCGTAGGAGGCCTTTTTGGGCCTCTTGGAGGCCGTTTGGGGGCCTCTTGGGGGCCTTCTTGGGGCCTCTTGGGGACCTCTTGGGGGCCTCTTGGGGCCTCTTGGGGCCTCCTGGGGGCCTCCTGGGGGCCGTCCCGAGTGCAGGGGCAGCGGCCTCTGGAAACTCGGGGGGCCGAGGTCTCCCGCCCGCGACTCGGGCAACGGCACCCTGCAAGCCACACGGCGCAGCACAGGTCGCGCAGCGTTCCTCCTCCTCCTCCTCCTCCTCCTCCTCCTCCTCTTTCTCCTTCTCCTTCTCCTCATCCTCCTCTTCCTCCTCCTCCTCCTCCTTCTCATCATCATCATCATCATCATCATCATCATCATCATCATCATCATCATCATCATCATCATCATCACTATCATCCTCATCCTCATCCTCCTCCTCCGCGGTCGCGCGCGCGCGTGTGTGTTTTTGCGCGTGTGTGTGTGTGTGTGAGAGAGAGAGGGTGTGTCTGTGTCTGCGTCTGTGGCTGTGTCTGTGTCTGTGTTTGTGTGTGCGTGTGTGCCTGTGTGTCTGTGTGTCTCTGTGTATCTGTGTCTCTGTGTCTCTGTGTCTCTGTGTGCGTTGGGAGGGGAGCAAGTGGAGCAAGATCTACTACGGCATTCCCGCGCCAGCGTTCATGGTCTGGTTGGGCTCCCTCCACTTCCCCACACGCGCTCCGTCCTCTTTCGCCATTGTGCCTCAATTCGCTCCCGGCGCACCCCACAGCTTACTCGACGGGCGTCTGACTGTCTTGGACCACGTGGCGCCCGCGGACTTACACCGTGTGGGTGTGGACGTACTGTGCAGTGATTGTCGTCGTCTCCCCTGTGCCCCCGTCTTACCCCCACCCCAACGCCCCTCACGCGTAATTACCGTGGCCCCATAAGGAGTTCAATCGCTTCTCTGCCTCACTTCTCGTTGCCCACCCCCTGCTGTCGTTCGTCCTTTCCTTCTCAACTACTTCCCAGTTGCCTTGCTCGCTCCCCTCTTTCTTATCATCTATCTTGCGCTACCCGCAGCTACACATGGTATGATCCTCCGATAGGGTCATGCGTGACTCTCCGGATCATCTCGTTTCGCCTGGGTGGAGGAGGAGGAGAAGCATGATTGGGATCATGAGCGACGAGCGACGAGCAGCTGCAGCAGCAGCAGCAGGCAGCGCCAGCAGCAGGAGCGGGGAGGAGGATGCGGATGAGGAGGGACGGCATCAGGGAACGGGGACGAAGGAGGAAGAGGATAACGACGACCGCGAGGAGCAGCAACCGCAGGAAGGAGGGGCACGGAGGATCAAGAGCAGTGGAGCCAGAGGAGGAGGAGGAGGAGGAGGAGGAGGAGGAGAAGGAGGAGGAGGAGGAAGAGGAGGAGGCGCAGCGCGGGGCGCAGCGCTGGGCGCAGGGTCGCGTCCCCTGCTGTTGCCTGCTGGCCCGCCTCAGTACCATCTCTCCACAGCAGCCAGGGGCAGGAGCAGGAGAACCAGGAGGAGGACGGCGAGAAGGGACTGCAGGGAAGGGTGAGGACGACGAGGGATGCGGAGGAGGGGTTGAAGAGGACGAGCAGCAGCAGCAGCAGCAGCAGCAGCAGCAGAAGGGGGGCGGCTCCATGCCTTCCCCCTGCGGGCAGATCCTCCCTGTCGCACCCCTAGTCGTGTCAGCATTGTGGGCAGGGTGTGTCGTTCGATATTTCCTCACCACATAGAGTCCAGACAGTTAGACGGGTTGATGGGTGACGTCGTCCAAGCGGGCTTCTCGCCATTGCGCAGCGCACATTCGTCGTCGATAACACGCCATGGGGCTCTCTCCTCAGCGTCGCGCGCACTCGTTCCCAAAGCGCGCAACAGTCATAGTTACAGGGAGGGGGGGCGCTTTCAAAATGGGCGTGTCGCCTTCAAACCGCGCGCATTGGTCCAAAGTTCCCAGCAGCTACAAGGATGGGCCGCGGTGGTTTTCAAAGGAGCCCTCGCCATCATACCGCGCGCATTCGCCTTATAGACTTGAATCAGCTACGAGGCTTTCTTTCTGTTGATCTAAATGAAGCGCTCGCCTGAGTGCAGCACACATTCGTCTTTTGAATGCGTGCAACAGCTGTAACGATGGAGGGCGGTTCCTTGTCACAATGGCTCTCGCCTCCTTGCCGCGCACAGCTCTTTCTGCAAAACCTGTAGGCGTCACAGTGATGGAGGGCGTTTTTGTTCCAAGGCGTGGCCTTCGCTGGCGACGTCCTCAGATCTAGCGGCCAGCATGTCGAACGCCTGTACCAACCGCACGGGTGGATGGCGGCCCCTTTCGAAAATTTGGCTATCGCCCTGCATGTGTTCAAACTTCCTCACTGGCAGCCGAAAGTGTAAACTTGTGCATTGTTGAAATGGGTGTGGCGGCGCCTCCTTTTCAGGACGGGGCGCCTGTTGGACGACCTTCTCGCTAATCTTCATGACCCTCGTACCGTCTCGTATGTTTTATCACGCGCTGGAGGGAAGCAGGCCGCTCCTTTTGCCAACACGGGGCTCTCGCCTGAACGACAGGCCCGTTGGGTGCTCGTCTTTCCAGGAGGCGCCTCTCGTGGTGAAGAACAGGTCTTGTAGGGGCTCATGAAGGCGTGACCGGGGATTGGACGTTGTACTGCAGCATCGTTGGTTGACGCTTCTTGGGCTTACTCTGGGCATCCTTCCCCTCCTCCATCCTCTTCCATCGTCCTCCCGTTTTCCTCACGTCTTCCTTCGTCCTCCCTTGCCCCCCCTTTTCCGTCCTATTGCTCCCTCCTCCTTCTCCCTTGTCTTCCTGTTTTCCTCCTCCTCCTCCTGCTGCCTCCTCCCTGCGTAGGGGTAGTGCAGGCCGGCGGTCGTTTTGGGACCTTTCCTCTTCGCTCTGCCTCCTCCCCCCGCCCTTCTCCTTGAGGACTCCTCGCCATCTGCAGACGGCGAGGTGGAGGCGGGGCTCTCCGGACCAGTTCGCCAGCGGCCGGCTCTTCATCCCGAGCCGTGCTTGTCCACGGTCCTGTGGCCCGGCGGCGGCCTCTAGGTGTCGAAAGCTGGTCGGGGGCGTCCGAGAGAGGGGTGTGATGGCTGGGGATGTGTGGATGTCATGGCCGTGATCTCTCCTCTTCTGCTCTCATTGCGTCCCCTGCCCCCCTTCCCCTCGTCGTTCGCACATGCCTGTGGGCACGATTTGCAGCCCTTCTTGGACGCCCCCCTCCAGGCCGCCCCCCTCTGGGCCGCCCCCCTCCGGGCGCGCTCAGTTCCGTCAAGTCGTTGGAGTGTCCTGGGTCCCCTCCTCCCCCTGCCACTGGCTCCGCGGAGCGGGCCCGGGAGGAGCCGGAGGACGTGGACTTCTCCGGCGAGGAGAACGTCCCCGACGCGTGGAGCGGCTCCGCGGAGGGGGACGAGGAGCACTTTTTTTCGGCGGCCAGCGAGGGGGCGAAGTGAGAAGGAGAAGGCCTTCGCAGCCGGGTTTCTCAGAAGCGCTCCGGCCTTATATGGATTTGTCCCGCATCTCCGGGGAAGGCGCAGAGATCTTCACAGAAGGCCAGGCGGGCTTCCGATCTTGCTGAGAAGGCCCGGCCCTTCTCACTTCCCTTGCAGCTGTCCAACCCTTGGTAACGAAGAGGCGGCGAGCACGAGAGCTCTTCCAAACGAAAAGTGGGTTGCTATGACTGCGCGGGTGGCGTCGACCAGAGCGAGGGGCGCCGCTTGCCGGGCATTGCTTTTCTCTGATCCCCTGGTAGTTGGCCGTCATGCTTCGTTCTTGCGCGAACACGAAAGCGCGGCCGCGCGAACACAACATTGTCTCCGAACGAAATCGATGTTTCCCCGGGCGAGCAGCATGTAATCCCCCCGCGAACGCGACATTATAACCGACGAGCACAACATGAAGCACGAATTGCCGCACGTACTCCAGCACGAAATGCGGCTTGACATGGCGCACGTTTTGTTTATCCTACTTTGTGTGGGGGCGCTCGCAGACGGAGTCTGGCGCTCGCAGACGAGTCCAGGGAATCAATTTGGGTGCCTTTTCGTGCGGCCGCTCTGGGCGGCAACTCTAAGACCATTTCTCGCGCGCAATTGCGTCCGGGCACCTTCCCGCAGGCAGAGTTGCGCGTGCAAGTCCGTGCCCGCGTCGTCCTCCCGGCCACCCGTGCTTGTCGGCTGCCACCAGCGAGCCCGGTCGCCTGCGAATGGGGCGCCGTCGCGGGTTGCCAAGGGCGTTAATCCCGCTGCGCCGAAGATGACAAATCATACAACATTTCGGGGGGCGCCCATAGCAGTTCGTGGCCCATTCCGTGCCCGAATTATGTTGATGTGGGCTTTCCCAGACGCGAGCTCGACTCACGATGCCGTTGCCGCAAGGATGGGAGACCATTTTGCCGCTGCCTTGCTGCTCAATGACTCGACCAGTCATCGTTCGTTCAGGTAGAGAGCGACGAAGGAGAGGAGAAGGAGGAGGGCCAGGAGGAAGAGGAAAGAGAGGAGAGGAAAAAGAGAGAGCCGAGTAGGAGGATGAGGTAAGGAGAAGAGAGGAAGGTATGGGGGGGAGGAGGAGAAGGAGTGTAAGGGACCGTTTGCCGAGGAGGAGGAAGAGGAAGAGGAAAGCGTTGATTTACTGACATCACTTGCCAGATTACTCAATAGTGCCTGCTTCAGTCTCAAATGTTTTCGGAGTGTCCGAAGCAGGCAGACTCAACCCAATACATTGGCAGCAATTCAGACTCCTCACCCCAGAGTTACCTTTTTCAAAACCGTGGGCGAGGCGGATCACGGGAAAAGGTTGAGAATTCAGCGGACGGAGGATGAGCAGACCAGGGAGTGCAATGGGAGAGGAGTGAGAAAGGAGGATGAGGATAATTGGGAAGGAGGGTGGATCAGTTGGGAGGGAATTGGAGAGAGGAGGATGCGTATAGAGATGAGGAATGGGGAGAAGTTGTGATACGGGCGCAGGAGAGGGGACAGAGTTTATCAGAATATCCCGTTCGTCATCTACGTTTCTGCACCCGCCCCATATTACTCCCCCTCCTCCTCATCCTCATCCGCATCGTATTCCCCCTTCCCCCGCTGTCCTTCCCTCTGATGCCTCCCCGCATCAGTGGGCCAAGCGCCGCCCGCACGCCACAGCGCCATTTTCCTCCTTGCCATCATCGTCTTCGTCGTCCTGCCTCATCACCATAAGCATCGCCCTCATCACCAACGGCATCGTCATCTTCATTATCAGCCCAACCACCATCAACATCCAGCCATGTTGGCTCAAGCATTTGGTTGTTTCATTGGCTTCCTCCTCGCACCTGCGAGGCCCGCGGACTGTCCGCAGATGGTGACCCTGGCTCGTCTCGCATGGGCTCGGCGGCATGCCGCTGCTGGCACGCCGCTGCATCTCTCGGTGTTCTCCGCCTCGGCCGTTGGCAAGAGCAAGATCAAGCTGCTCATGACGAGCCGTCGGTTGCCGACACGGTGCGCGAGGTCCCGCTGGCCCAGCTCGGCAACATCATCGGGTTGTACCGGCAGTACGTGACGGTGGATCGTGGGCATCGGCACGTTGGTGCCACCGTGAGCGAGATTGTTTTGTGGCTCTCTGCACGGACAGCTGCCGCTCCTGCGCCGCCACGTGGTTCCGATGGCAACGGCCCCGAAGGCCCTCCCGATGCTAGACTCTAGCATCAGGAGGGCCTGGTGGTCCTCATGATCGACGTCGCGGGCGCTCTCCTCCTGGAGGTGCTGCTGATGGAGGTGATCCTTGGCACGGTCCTGGCGCTGGAGATCCGTGGGCGGCGGCTGCTGCACTGAGTGACCCCCCTGCCAAAGCGCCGAAAACGCGATGCGGTAATTTTTCGAGGGGTTGCTGCTGTAGTTTATCGTGGAGGGCTTCCGCTTCTTGCCGCTCCCGCCTTCCATTTTACGCGAAGGCGTTGGAATGTGTGCCTGCTGCTGTCGGCCCACCTTCTGTTCAGCTACGCCGTGCACTACGCGACACGCAAGTTGCATATCGACTAGCTTGTCTCTCGTAAATGAGCTACTGCCGATGATGACGTTCGCGTGACTACTCGTGTTGGTTGCCGGCTTCTCGATGATCGTGAGCCTTTGTTGCAGGAGCGTTTCCTTCTTCCACTCTGCTGGGGCTTCTTGGTTCTTCGTCCTCCCGTCGGGCCTCGCAGCCCTGTGTGAAAATTGTCGACCACCCTTTCGGGTGCGCCTTCGGTTTCTTAGACGCGGCGCATAATTTGCCGACTCGCCTCTGAAACATGTCGGCGGCGTGCTGGGCTTCCACTAGGCCGCCGTACGCTAGTCGGCTTGCCGGGTTGTCCTGGGCTTCACCTTCGGCCAGCTCCTCTTCCTCGGGGGTCTACTCTTCAATGTCGCGGAGCGCAGGGGAGATGCCCTAGGCCCCGCATTGGTCGAAGTGAACTATGTTCGTGTGTGAAGGTAAAAATCACCAGCATCATCAACGTCAACATCATCACCATCAGCATCATCGACAACATCCTTAGGACCATCTCCACCACCATCACCGCCATGACCGTCACCATCATCATCATCACCAGCAGCAGCAGCAGCAAGATAATCAGTATCATCCTCCTCATCATCATCGTCGTCATCAGCATCATCTTCTTCATCATCATAAACATCTATTGTCGTCAACCGCTGCATCATCACCATCATCATGATGAGCCTCATCATCATCATCATCATCATCAGCAGCAGCAGCAGCATTATCACCATCTCGTCGGTTTCGTCGTCGTCTTCGTCTTCCCGTCCTCCGAGCTCGCCGCCTGGCTGTGACGTCCTCCCCCCATCCGCGGTCGCTGTGGCTCTGGCGGGGCGCCCGCAGAGGTCGCGTGCGCGCGCCCTCCGCACGCCGCGCCCCCCTCAGCAGGAGGCGCCGCCGCCGCGGCCGTGGCGCCGCGATGTGCGCGGCCCACGCGGCCTGCGCCCTCAGCCGCCGCGGCCGCGGCGACGCGGACTTCCCCCACGCGCCGGGCGCCGCGCTCGGCCACCCTGCGCACACGTGGCCCCTGCCCCTCGCGATGGTTTTCAGGGCACGTGTTAACCCGAGGAGTGTTGACCACGTTCAACTCCGCCGATGCTGCACACCTTTGGCGTCCTTCATTGTGCCGTCTGCGTTGCCTCATCGGGCTTCGGCGGACAAGTACACGCTGGCGCTAACACGCGTCCCGAGGATCATCGACCCTCCCGGTGGTGCAGCGCGGGCCGGCGCCCGCGGCCCGCGCACTCAGCGCCGCGCGAAGTGCCGACGATGATCGGGCGCCGCACCGCGCTGCGCGCGCCCTGGCGGCGCCGGGCGGCACGCTGGGGCCCGGCCTGGCGCCGCCGCGGAGCGGCGGAGGGCCGTGGCGGCGCGACGCGCAGGGCGCGGCCAGCTCCGGCGAGCCCGGCGGGCTGGCGCTGGGCGGGCGGGGCGGTGCCTGCGGCGCGGGCGCGGAGGGGCCGGCCGCTTCAGGCCCGCCCGCCAGCGCCGCCGGGGAGGACTTCGAGCTGGTGCACCGCCCTTCTCGGCTGCGCGGTTTCGTGTCGGGCGGCGGCCACGGGCGCGCCGCAGGGCAGGCGCCCGAGGGCGAGGGCGCCCGCGGCGCGCCAACGCGGCCGCGGTCGCCCGCGGGGCTGCCCGCCGCGCCGGAGGGCGCGGGCAAGATTTACATCCGTACCCACTGCGTCTCGGACTTTCTCTGGGAAGGCGCAGCAAGAGGCCGAGGCGCAGTGCATACGGATAGAGATCTGGCCCCTGGGGGCCAGATTTCTGTCCATATCCACTGCGCCTCGGGTGTCTGGTGAAGGGAGCCCGAGACTTCAAGACGCAGTGGACACGGGTATGCGATATACATCTCTCCCGCAGAGGAGTCGTGGAGGGGGCTGAGCGGCATGCTCGCGGACCTCGGCGCGGCGGCCTTGGCCCCCTCGGGCCCCCAGGGCGGGGCGGGGTCCTCGGTGCCGCACGCGCCCAGCATGCCCGAGGCCCCGCAGGCTTTCCTGGAGCCCCCGCTCTCGTCGGACATGGCGATGGTGAGGAGCGTGGTCGAGGAGCTGCTCGACAAGCAGACCTGCACGCTCGAGGGCTTGTTTCGCGAGAGCGTGGGCGAGCTTGCCGGCGGTTTCGACGAGCAGGCGGAGAGTCAGACGCCTTCGCTGCGGCAGCAGTCGAAGCGCGTCTCGTCGACAGACTCGATGAGCGCCGAGCCCGAGTTCGCCTGCTCCGCCACCTGGCCCTCCACTGCCGCCAATGGTCGCAACGAGAACGGATACAGGGTAGCCTCATCAAGTTTCCAGTTCGCGAATTCTGCACCCAAGCTCAATGAGGCGCAAGATTTGGCTGCCGATAAGGCGGTGTGCAGCACCAGTTCGCTGTACTCGGAGGAGGAACCGTTCGATCTGGGCGTGTCCAGGCTTGCAGACCCCTTCGCGTTCGCCAGGAACTGCGAGGTGGCAGAGAGCAACAGGGACGGACGGGCCCGGAGGCTGTCGACGCTGCGCGAGCACATTGGGTCGGAATACACAGAGTCCTGGTCTAGATTCGAGAGTTGCCTCGAATGGTGGGAAAACTTGAAGGAGCCCCCTCGGCACCGCAGGATCGACAGGATAGTGCGGAGCGCCACGTTCGAGTGGGCATGCTTGATTGTCATCTGCCTCAACATGATTTTAATCGCCTACGCGACGGACTACGAGATGAAGAATCGTAGCAGTCTCCGCTACACATGGGTGATGGCAGTGGAGTTTATCTTCGCTGCGTGTTATGTAGTGGAGATCTCACTGCGACTCGTTTCATCGGGGGTGTTCTTTTTCATCGGCAGCAACTACGCCTGGAACTTGTTTGACCTCTTCTTGGTTGTTGTGACACTCTTCAGCCAGGTCGCCGGAACGACGGCGACGAACTGGACCGTCTTGCGCACCCTCCGCCTGCTCCGCGTGGCAAAGGTGATCCGCGCCGTTCGGCTCCTGCACAGGCTAGGGCTAGATGAGTTGATGCTGATGCTGAGATGCATCATGGGCTCGATGTCGCAGCTCTGCTGGTGCGTCGTCCTTTTGGCATTCATCTCGTTCCTATTCGGCATCTGTTTCGTGCAGGTGTTGGCCGGGTTGATGGAGGATGGCAGCCTCTCGCCGAGAGAGGAGGACGATATCAAGACAAATTTCGGTTCTGTTTATGTGACAATGATGACCCTCGTGCAGGCCACAACAGGCGGCCGCGACTGGGGCGAGACCTACGACCTGCTTGGGCTGGGCGGCATGCAGCTTCAGATGCTTTTTTTGTTTTACATTGTGTTCAACATCGTTTCCCTTTGGAATGTCATCACCAGTGCCTTCGTGGAGAAGGCTTTGCAGCTTGCCCGCCCCCCTGCTGACCGGGTGCTGGAGGAGCAGTACGCGGAGGAGAGAAAGGCCGCAGCGACGTTCAGGCAGTTGTTCGAGAGTGCGGATGAGGATGGTTCCGGCACGATTTCGCTCCAGGAATTCATGACGGTTTGCGACAACCCTCAATTCCTCGCGCTCCTGAGGACCTTTGGAGTGGACATCAAGGAGGCGCACACGTTCTTCTCCATCCGAAGAACAAAAGATGGTTTAGGCATAATTTCTATGAGGTTTGCGCGGATTCCTTGGATTTGGGCTGGAACCTCCTAGCGGCGCCTCTGGCGCCGCCCCTCGAACGCATCGCGCGCCAGGGGGGATCTCCAGCTCCAATCCAAGAGATCCGCGCACAAACCTCCGAGAACGTTATGTGTGTGCCATTGTTTGGTCCTCTATCCATGCTGGTGGATTCTGTCAGCAGCAACCCCCAGGACCTCGAGGTAGACATCAACACGCTCGTCGGCTGCTGCATCCGGATCAAGGGCCTGGCCACGAGCCTCGATCTCCACACGGTCCGCCACGAATTGTGGGAGCTGCGGCGCATCCAGAACGAGATGCTCCGCAGGGTCCAGGGGCTGCGCCGCCGCCGCCACCACAGCTCGAAGAAGGAAAAGCTGCGCAAGGGCAGGCATTCGACGCTCTGCGGGGATTTCTTGGATCTGCGCTGGGCCCCCCCGGCGGCGCCTCTGGCGCCGCCCCCGGCGTGCCAAGGATGGGGGGCCCCGCAGCGCCGATCCGAGAATCGGCCGCGCGCAGAAGGGGTTCGGGGGAGGGGGGAAGGCTACTTGGGAGCACCCCTGCTTCTCAGAAGGCGCGGGCCCTGTCTGCAAGTGTGTAGGGCCAGCGCGTTCTAAAAAGCAGCCTCCTTCTAAGAATAGCCTTCCCCCCTCCCCCATACCCCCTCGTGCGCGCCGTCAAGAGAAGTCCGCGCGCAGCGTCGAAAGCCTGTGCTTATTATGTTTTTTCTTCGTCTGGCAGCAGCGGGCGCGACGAGCGCCGCCACCCCCCGGCGTGCGACCGCCACGGGCCCTCGGGCGTCGCGCAACGGGGGTGTGATGGTGGGGGGGGGGGGAGCGAAGAACGGTGCACCTCTCGTGCCCTGAAGGGGCCCGAAAGGCCCATCCCGGGGCCCAAGCAGAGGCACGACAGGAGCACGCTTCTCCCACCCTTATGCTCGCCCCCACATCAAGCACCGAGCGCGTTCCTCTGCTCGCAAAGTGCCCACTCGCAAACGATCGAAAAACATATCTTTGTTTCCACAAAATGTACCGTAGATCCCCCGCGGCGGATCCAGGCCATTTGCGAACTGTCACTCTGCGAGTAGTGGAACGCGCTCGTCTAATTAAGCAACCCCCAAGGCTCGGCGGCGGCCTGCCGGCCGCTGCCGACGGCGTCGGCCGCGGACGCCGCGGCCGCGCCGCGGACGGCGCGGGCGCGAAGGCCGCCGAGGGCTCCACCGCCGACGGCAGCCCGCAGAGCGATCTGGGCGGCGGTCCCAACGAGGAGCAGCCGCCGCCCGCGGGTGGGGGGCCGGACGACGCGCGCTCGCGGTGCAGCGGCGCGAGCTCGTCGGGGAGCCCGCGGGGGGTGCACGGCAGCACCCACAGATTTTGTGTACAGACATCGTAAAACTGTATATGTACAAACATTATATGTACACCCACGCCTACATTTGTGTATACACAAATGTGTATATATATATACACGTATATATACATATATTTACACATATATATATATATATACGTATATATATATGAAGATATACTTATATATGCATGCTGTACGAAGCGTTCCAGGAAGGGCCTTGCTTTGGAGTGTCGAAGGACTTGCCATCTCTGCCTCGGCGGACGGCGGCTGAAGGTCTGTGGAAACTCGCGGAAGCAAAGTGAGGCCGCCTCCTCCGGCGGAAGCCGGCGGAAGTAGACATCGTCCTCTCAACTTTCAAGCAGTGGCGAAGCGTGTTGTCGTACCTATATGCCTACCAAACAATGTTCTAAGATCCTTTTGCGGTCTCCACGAAATGTGCTTATAACACTTCTGGCTGGGACCGTCTTGTTTCAGCACATCGGGTTTATGGTCTAAGAACATGGTTTTTGTTCTTCAGACATTTTTGGGTTCTAAGAACATGTCGTGGTAGGCCTGTAGGAATGCTGAGACGGTCGGTCCCAGCTCCAAGATGTCAAGGTTTTTGGTCATTGTTTCCAGAACCCGCCAACTGCGCGTCGGCCACGCAAGTTCGACGCGCACGCTCGGAAACCTTGTAGCACAAGCTCCGCGGCGGGTGCTTTCTGGCCATACCGCTCGGGAGACGATCTGCCAAAAGGTGCTGTGCTGCGTGTTCGGGTCGGACGCGCGTCCCCAACACAGACGCATAGTACTGAGTCGGGCATGTCCCCCTACAGGAGGATTTGTTCCCCAAGTATTCAAAACATTGCATGGGGATTCTAGTATGTTTGACACTAGTTTTGAACCTGTTTTGACCATTCCTCGTTTTTCTCATAACCTCCGCCTGTAGGAGGACATGCCCGACCTGGGCACAGTACCGGTATGCCCTCGTGCGTCCCAGGTGCCGCGGCTGAGCCCGCTGCGGGCCGCGTCGGAGATGTGGTGACGGCGGGCGCAGCGCGGGGCGGGGCGGGGGGCCCGCAGGTCGGCGTCGGGGCCCTGGAGGCCAAGATCTGTCAGGGGTCAGGGGCACCGTCAGGGACGCATCGGCGCCCGATTGCCCACTGCTCGCCGATAGGGGCCCGACAGCCCACCCGATAGCCCAGTCCGTCGTCAGTCAGAGGAGAGCAAGAGCTCACGGCAATGATACGTTCCAAGATGTCCAGGTTCTCCGGTTCTACTCGGGCTAGAAGAACGGGGGCCGCTAGACACTCCAGAATGACTGGAACGAATCCTGAGCCAATGATATCTTCATGATCAGCATCAGCAGCGTCAGCATCGTCATCGTCATCATCATCATCATCATCATCATCATCATCATCATCATCATCATAAGTTTCATCATTATCATCATCATCATCATCATCATCATCATCATCATCATCATCATCGCCATCCTCGTCATCAGCATCATCATCATCAGCATCATCATCATTATCCTCGCCGTCGTCATCACATCATCATCCACATCATCAGCATCAACAACATCATAGTCATCATCACCACCAGCATCATCATTCTCACCGTATCATCACCATCATCATCAACAGCATCCTAATCATCATGAGCATCATTATCATCATCATCATCATCATCATCATCATCATCATCACCATCAGCATCATCATCGTCATCATCATCAGCATCATCATTGTCATCATCATCCACATCATCATGATCATCCTCGTTCTCATTATCGTCCTCGTCAGTGCCCTGGAGACCAACATGTTCGGCAAGTTACAGGGCTCTGCGGATTACAGGAGCTGATGAAATCGGCGAGTGGAGGATGCTTCGACTCGCAGTGCTGCAGCTTCCCTGAGATCCGACGTCTCGAACAAATACAATATCTTTAACAAACTCGACCAGGCCCTGCGGCGCCCAAAAGGAGGCACCATCGCCCGGAGCGAAAAAATGAGACGCCAGGATCTCAGGGTGAAGAGATCGATGGGTGAAGGATGCCTCGACCCGCTGCGCTGCAGCCTGCACGGGTGCGCCAGAGCCTGGCTTCTCATAGCGCCAACTTCGCAGAGCGGAGATCGACAGGAAAGTATGACATGTAGATCCCCAATTGTCTTCTGAGTTCCATTCCTGATTTCGTTGCGAATGTCAAACCTATTTGTTTGTTTAAGTCTGGGAGTGAGATCGTAAGACGCCCACGTAAAGTTCATTGCGTGTTCTGTTCGCCGTTTTGGGCCGTCTCATCTGCAGAAATCCATTCACATGCTCGCAGTTGCCCGTTTGCTGATGTGATGCTGTGTTCTTCCAGTGCGCTCGGCTGCACGAGCCGGTGACAGATAGGGTACTCGGGCGGCTTTCGTCTGCACCGCTCAGGACCCAGGGCCCCGACGTCCTGATGTTTTCGTGGCGTCGACCCCCAAAGGTCTCGACCCATTCCCCACGACCGGTTTTTCATCCCGAGTCGCGGTTTGACGGTCCCGAGGTCCGGTGGGGGCCGCCAGAGGCCGAAAGTGTAGCCAAACATGTCCTGTCGAGACTTTTTTTGTAATGCCTCGAGGGGGTCTGGGCATCCTCGCTTGGAAAGCGCATTCGAGCTTGAGCCGCAAGACTAGAAGCCATGACGTTCCACCGTGCGGAGCCCTGGGCGGCGCGGCGGGCGGCGGCCGCCCTTCACAGAGACGGCGGGCGCCGCGGGTGCAGGGGGGTTCGGTAGCAAATCATGGATGCTTTGCGTATCGCCTCGCAGTTCACTCTTCAGCGTCGACCGGCGTCGATTGGCGTCTGGGAGTCGACGAGGTAGCGCCGATTTAGTGTCGGCGAGCGTCGATTCAACGTCGACTGGCGTCGAGTTAGCGTCGACCAGCGTCGATTAGCAAGTGCCGACAAGATGGTATTGGAGGCTCCCATGAGTTGCCACCGAGGGGGGCGTGGGGTTGTTGGGCCCTCCCGCCACGGGCGGGGCGATGGCGCCCAGGAGGTCGCTGCCCGGATAGGGAATCCTCCAGGGTCTGAAGCCTCGTGGGCACGTTCGCCAGACGTCGGGTTCGTCGAGGTTGTGTGACTGGCCCGCCTTGAGCTCTGACGAGCCAGCTTTCGTGGGATGTCTGCAGCGGGAACGCTCGCATCAAAGTTCAGAGTCGATCTCGTCGTGCTCCGGACGGCGCCGCTAGGCCAACCTCGGCACACCGAACTCGAGTTTTGCGCCTCGCCGACAAACGAGGGCCGCCATGTGCTCCAGAGTTCCTGGAACGCATCCTGAACCCATCGAATCATGACATCGGTATCGCCCGATTTCTTACCCCACTCCCGTGGGCCCATCCCCTGAGTGGCGCCCTCCTCCACCCCTGCCTTCTGCGGGAGGGCTTCTGAGATCTAAGGCCTCCCAATTGGTTCCCAAGGCAGCGTGCATGCAAAAAAGGGACTTCCTTTCACGCCTGGTATGTGCACGTCCTGAGGCGCGGTCTTACGTGCACCTCGAGGTGGGGGCAGGCAAGCTCTCCCTTGACATTACGTCCTTGCGTTTTTCACGAGACCGCTCCAAGCCTGCTCCAATCGGTGGCCTGTTGGTCACACCGTCGACGCATCGGCCATGCGGCCCGATGCTCTCCACGTCGATGTCGCCGACGCACCGCCGACGTTAGCGACGCATCGCCAATGCATCCGCGACGCGGCGCCATCCAGGAGGCCCACATGCGAGGCCCGCGCCCTCGCCCAAGTGCGAGAAGGGGGCCCTCGCGGCAGTCGTTTTCGTCGTCGTCGTCAAAGTCGTCGTCGTCGTCAGCGTCGGCAGCCCCTGCGGCCCGCCATCCTGGGTGCTCGGCGCCTCCGCCGCCGCTCGGCGCGCCAGCGCGGCGCGTTCGCTGCGGCTCCTTGGCCCACTGCGCCCCCCCTCCCTGGGATCAGAGCAGGAACAGATGCCCCATACCACCGCTGGATTCGCTGGTCCGAACGCACCCCTGGAGAGGCCAGGGAAGCAGCAGTCTCGGCACCCTTTGGCTTCCCCACGAGAGTCGTCTTCCCTCCGCCGAGGGAGAGAAGCCACTCTCGTCTGGGGCGTTCCAGAGAGGGCCCTGCCTTCGAGGATCGGGCGATTTGCCATCTCTTCTGCGGCGGAAGGTCGGCGGAAGGCGGCGGAAGTAAAACGGCGGCGCCTCTGCCAGCGGAAGGTTGCGGAAGCTCGACGGAAGCTGGCCGAAGCTAAAGTCGACCTCCCAAGAGATGACAACAGTTTTGAGTTCAGGGTTTCCGGAATCCGCCATCTGTCGCTGAGATGTGATGTCTTGTTTGGGAGCCGGCTGGGGGTCTGAGGTGGCCTAGCACTGGTTCCGGCCGGGTGGAGTTCGAGGTCTGGGTCCGACGAGGTTTTGCCTTGTATGGCCTCTGGGGACCGCCCTGGGACC